TATTTCATCTGAAATACTTTAGTAGAACAAAAATAATACTTTCAGATTGGTACTTAAAAGGAAATTTGTTGTCGTTAAACAGAAATGTTCACTCACGCTCTGCTGGAAGACCTACCATCAACCTCTTACATGAGCAAGGTATTTAGGTTCCTGAGAGAAATGTGCCTAATGTTCACATTTGACAATTCCAGTCCATATTCTCATAGAGCAAGCCATGCTTAATCTGATTTCTTAAAGAGAAAGGCAGGGACAAAAGTGGGAAATGGAAATCATCAAAGGTAATGTTGCAAGTCAGGCTATTATTTGCAAGGTTTTCAGAGCAATTATAATATTTATCAAGCCAGGATAACATAAATGAAACATCGAATCAAAGAATTGATATTTCTTAACTTAAAAATTAGCAGCTCTGATTTCTTAATCAGCTCTGTCAGCTGATTAACAAGGAAGAGGGAAAAACAAGACAAAGAAGGGCAATTATACAGCAATCACAATGGGTCACTGTTTTGTATGTTTTCTGGATGCTGCTTCAGAAAATGGTATAATGCAGATTGTGACCATCATACATAAAGTACACCATCTTCACCAGTTCCTGAAGTAAAAATATATCTTATTGCATTATTTTTAACATGCCATCCGTAGTCAGAAATATATTTTGAGACTTGTATACGTGTAAAGAAAACTAACAAAAGTTTAATAAGCTGTACGTGTATGTGTATGTGTAGAGGTATCTCTACAGTACATATATATACACACATACATATAAGTGCACATTGATTGGGTGTGACCTATTAATTTGATTTCATAACACATTTATGGTTACAACCCACTAATGGTCACACCCACCATTTGAAAAAATACTGTCAAATAGTGAAGTAAATCTAACTGCCTGTGACTAGAAAAAAATCATATTTCTCAGTGATGAATACCGAACCCCTCTGGAATCATTGAAGGCATGTTTTTTATGCAGGCTGAGCAGCTATCTTTAAGAACTGGAGGTGGTTTTGTGAAGCCAACTCTGACCGTTGAATTTGTGA